ATTACTAATGCCTATGATTTCTTTTTCACTTTTGACACTTTAACTTTCCTTACATTTATGATTTATATGTTCTGTGAACAAGCAGGTACCAGGAAAGGACATGTAAAGGGCCCAAAACATAACAATGGAACTCATTAGAAACAAAAGTAGCAATAAGAGAACCCTTTTCCACCAATCAGATTTGCAAAAGACATAAAGAAATGATTAAAATTCTCAGTGAAAGTTTAAATTTATAAAAACTTTTTTCTGTGTTCAACTTTTTTTAATATACTAGTTTGTTCACAGAGTTCAAATACATTATTTTTCACACCAGCTCTTTCACATTTCCTTCATCCCACCCACCCATCAAATTGTATGACCCTATAATTAACACCTACACACACACACACACACACACACACACACACACACACACACACATATCCTTTCCCCTCTGCTTCCACCCTCCGCCTCCTTGGATCCTCATACTCATTCTACAATAATGATTTTTTAAGTATTTCTCCTTATTGGACTGAGTTATTTCGCTCAGCATAATGCTTTTCAATCTCTCTCAAGTTAGGTAGTAATTTACAATCATTGTTCTTGTGTGCTCTATAGGATCCCATTGTGTGAATGCACCATAATTTCTCAATCCATTCAATTGTGGTTGGACATCTGGGCTGTTTCCATGTTCTTGTGATGGTGAATAACACTGCTATGAACACTGGTATACAAGTCTCTGTTTGAGCCTCAGTTCTCATTTTCTCAGGTTATTCCAAGGAGTGGAATAGCTGGTTCATATGGAATTTCTATGTTCAGCTTTTTGAGGAAGCACAAAATTGCCTTCCAGAGTTGTTATATCATTTTACAATTCCACCAGCAATGTGTAAGAGTTCCTATCTTGCTACATCCTTTCCAACATTTATTATTTGCTGTCCTATTAAAATTTGCCATTGTTACTGGAGTGAAATGGCATCTCATTGTGGTTTTGGTTCACATCTCTTTTATTGCCAATGATTTTGAGCATTTCTACGTATGTCTGTTGGCCATTCAGATATCTTCCTCTGTGACAATTCTTTCCATATCTTTTGCCCATTTTGTAATTGGGCTATTCGTCTCTTTCTTGTGGAGGCCCAGTATTCTGTAAACTTTTGTTATGAGAATCTTGTCTGAGATGGTATTGCCAAATGTTTGTTCTCAGTCAGTAGATTTTTCTTTTCACCCTGTTGAAAGTAGAGTGTTTAAAAAGTAGCTCAAACAATCTCTCATATTCTTTAATTATCTAGTGTAACTGACTTGTTTCATCAGTTGGTGGGCTCTGTGTGTCTACTCCTCTTGTATTGATGCAAACTTCTGATAAAATGGGATGAGGTGAACAATGTTGTATAATTTGGGGGGGCTCAGTCAGAAAAAGTAATGAATATTTGCCTTGTTTGCTGGAATTGTTAGTCTTGAAACTTTCAAGTGCAAGGTTGATTATCCTGAGACTGCCACGTTGTAAGGAAGAAACAACATGACAATTAGCAATATCTTTCAAAATGTAAAACTCCAAGCAATAAAATTTGTCTTTCAATATGCAATGCTCTGAGAACTTACCTGTCAGTAGCCCTAGTTGATTAGTAGGGAGTTGAGCCATTAAGCCAAAGGTGGCACCCCTCTGGCTGTTTGGAGCTATCAGTGTTGCTCCAGAAAAAAGATGAGACATCTCTTCACTTTTACAACCTTGGAAAGCAGCTGTAAAAACAGCTATGAGTTGGTTCTGACTTGATGCCAATGAGTGAGTGAGTCCTACAGGAATGAATGAATGAATAAATAAATAAATTCCACACACATACAAATATTATTACAACATGCTTCTAGAGGACAAAATACCCTTTAGTCAGATTGGCTGAACAATATTGGTCAAAGCAGAATGTGAAAACTGCAGAACAATCTCACTGATTTCACATGCAAGCAAGATTTTACTGAAGATTATCCAAAAACAACTGGAACAGCACATCAACAGAGAATTACCAGAAGTCCAGGCTGGTTCCAGAAGGGGTCGTGGTATTAGAGATATTGTAGCTGATGTTAGATGGATCTTGACTGAAAGCAGGGAATACCAGAAGAATGTCTATCTGTGTTTCATTG